TTTCCTTTTTCTTCTCTTTGCCTCTTGTGCTTTCTTCCCCCTTCCCTTTCGCCTCCGCCGCCCTGCTCCTCCCCGCGCAGCCCGAGCGGAATGCAGGGCCTGGCCGGGAGCTCCGTCGAGGCGGTCGTCGAGATAAAGCTTCACGTCAGTTGTCTTTAATATGCACATGTCAGGGGAAGCGTGAGAGAGCTCCGTGGAACCTGATTTCCTGTTTAGATTTACAATTACATATCCGTATTCTGCTTAAACGGGAAAGTCGACACGATCCGATCGATGTGATTTGCACTTGATTTGAGTTGCCTAGAAGGAAAGATTTGTTCATGTTTAAATGAGTCGGTGAACAACAATAGTAGCAATGATAACAAGTTAAGATTGGATATGATATCAATTTTGATCATGACATTAATAATTTGTGTCCTCATTATCCTCACCGTTACTGATGATAATACAAATAATGCATCAAGATTAACAAACATTGCCGATGAGGAGAAAGATAATCATTATGTGAAAATAAAAAAGAAAAGTCGAAAAGCGAAATGTATTCAGATATTCAAATAAGTTGCCTCTATTCCGACAGCAGAAAATGTTCAGGAAGATACTGAGTGAGTTGTACAGATGCGACAAATAGTTTTGCTTTTATTTCTTCTTACAGAACGGTTTTGGAGGAGGTTGCCGTGTCTCCCCGGGATGGAAGAGGCACTTAGAGAGTTTGGAATACTTCTAAAGAGCATTAAAGTGGTCGGCCGGGCTGGGAACAACCTCGAAACTCTTACACAGTTCTCGAAGATTGTCCATGATTATATGAGAACATTTGCCTGTCAGTAAAGAGAAAGAGAGAAAAAAAAACTTGGTACTTGCCGTTTCGTCCATCCGCAAAATAGGGTTAAAGTGCTGGCTTTATCAAGAGAAGAGTCTTGCAAATATCACTCGAAAATACAGAAACAAATATACATTGTTTCCTAGCTGTAGGTATTCGAATAATTTCGTTGGGGAAGCTGAAAGGTCAAAGAGTTTCAGAAATTTAATATGTCGTTATGTCGTTAAAAATCCTAGATGTAGTAAGAATTCTAAAAAGGCTGTAGCAATTCAAATCGGAAATGAAGCAAACAATAAGTTGATACTGATGCTATTAGGAGAGTAAGAATGAAAGTAATAGAGGAGGTGAAGGGAGACATAAAGGACCGGAGGATTACAAGCATGTTCACTGTTAAGGCTCTCAGCAACAACAGAAACATGAAGGAGAAGGGAAAAGTAAAATGAAAATTAGAAACAAATAAAAATAAAGATAACAGAAATAGAGACCGTAATAAAGGATAAAATATTATCATCATTATTATTATCATTATCATATTATCATTATCATTATTATATTTCTTCGTGTGAATATTTATATTGCATGAGTGACCCTATTGCCTTGGCGGAGGTATGCACTTTCTGAGTGCTTTAGTTATCATTATCATTATTATTGTTATTGTTGTAGTTTATTATTGTTGTTTTATTATCATTGTTATTGTTGCAGTTTGTCGTCATTATCATTATAATTATCATTTTTATCATTATTACTATTTTTCTTATTATCATAATCATTATCATTATTATTATCATCATCATTACTATTTCTTTTATCATCCTTATCATTATCATATTATTCCATCCTCGTCTTCCTGTGTGTCTTTTCCTTGAATGCAATTTAAGGAAATAATAAAGACCAAGAATCCTACACGCACTGAAAATACAAGTAAATAATACAAGTGAAACCTGAGACGAAAAAACAATATATAACTAACCATTAGCATGGCTATGAAATTGCTACTACGATCACCATAATTCATATCACTTTAACAATACCACGATATTCGGGACAAAAAAGCAAATTGCCAGCCAACAATAGGAACCCGAACAGAACTACCGATAAGACAAAGCAAAAGTTCACAGGGCACACGATCCTAATTTGTCTAGGGGCGCTCAGTACCATTGCAAGGGTTTCCTATCCTCCTATGACAATTATAGACGAGAGAAAGTCGTGTGTACCCGCGTGCCCGAGGGCGTTGCCCGGCCCCACTTGCCATAATTACGTAACTTATGTTGGTTTCTGACAGGCTCAGTGCAGTGGCTGCCTCGGCCTGGGTGCGGGGGTCTGGGGGTCTGGGGGTCTGGGGGTCTGGGGGTCTGGGGGTCCGGGGCGAATTTGCATGAGGAATTCATTTCATTATATTGTGTACGTACGATGCGATTGTAATTACGATCCTTGAGCCAAAGGTTATCGAGGAGAAAGAAACTGGAATTTGCTAAATTA